ACACACACTGGGCCATCAGCTTAAGTGTTGGTGTGTGTTTGTGTGTGTGAGGAGAGGGTTGGTGAGATCGGATATGACAGCATGTTATGGCCCCGCTAGCAGCCCGGGGGNNGGGGGGGGGGGGGTGTACACACGGAGGAAACTTGCCAGTTTAAAGGTTGCAAGTGGAAAACCCTTCAAATAGAACTACATTATATACTATATATATAGTATTATTTTATATTCTGGATAATTTGGAGTTTTATTGATTCTCTTTGCACATATTGTATTGTATGGTTTATGTTATAGAAATAAAGTTTATTATTATTATATGTACAGTTCACTGTGTATTGAAGGTACAATAGGACTGCAAATTGGAGTCCATAATTAATAAACCAATTAAAATGTTTTAACCATTTTGGTTAAGAAAGTAAACGTTATTGTGATTATCAGCGTTCCCACTCAATCCTGGACATTTTGGGCCTAGTTTGAACAGATTAAAATGACCAATCCTGGCGACAATCTATGTTATCCTTAAAGAATGTAATTGTATGTTAGTCAATATAACATTTATTTACAGTTCAGTACATTCAAAAGTAAAGAAGCTTCTCCAAATCACATGAATTCCAAAAGCTGAGATGGAAGCTACTATCTATCTATCTGCAAAGCTAGTTAGCTTTAGCATGAGTTTAGCTAGGGATATTTCTCTCCATAATCTAGATTTAATTACTGCCTCATATGTGGACTAAACTGCATTACCAAGAAGTCAGTTCATTAAACCCGATAAGTTTCCATGTACTTATAACAGCAAGGAAATGATAAACAAATTCCGTTTTAGCTAAGGCTAGCGGTGGCTCATCAGCTAGCTTTCACTTAAAAGCGCTCCTGATTATAAAACCTATCGTTATCGAATGTGAGTTATGCACGTCTGCCTCTCTAGAAGTCAGTGGGTTTTTGGTTACGCTTCAGAAATCATAAAAGTGCTGTTCATTTCTGAAGCTCATCTGGCTGATTAAAATGTGTAGGAATGATTACTAGTATCTGCCACAGAGCTTATTTTATTCAATAATCCAAAATGGAAAGCTCCCATTGGCTTCTTGTCAAAGGAACCAGGGCGGTTCTAACTTCCAGGCCGGCCTACAAAAATAGGTTAGGTTAGGTAGGTTTTTAGGTTGGCTTTGTGGTGATGGCAATTTTAAACAGTTTTCACAGAAATTATGCATTTATATGGCATCATAATTTTTTACATGAGTTTTAGCGTGCAAAATCTGGGCTATAGTGGACTCTTCTGGTTCTTTCTTAATTAACTATAAACCCAAGAGATGTGTAATTCCAGAAATGTTCTTAACTGTCAGCCCCACTGGTGAAGACCCTTTGTACCAATGCTTTCTCTCACAAAGGCTCTGCTAAAAGATAAGGTGGTGATGTTCTACTCTCTATTAGAGATATCCTATTGTTCTTACTCTCAACAAATCCCACGACGAGACCCAAACCAATGTGACTTCCCTACTCTAACCCTGTCACTCAGCACCAAGCCCACTGGTTCCTATTGTAGACGTACATCTATAAAAACAGCTTTTTATCGTTGTGTCATTTTTTTTAAATGGCTGGGCACTCGTTTTTTAGAAACCGTCATTTAAACAGGAAGAAATAGTACATTTGTTGGGGACTATTTTTAGCTGCGGATTAATCCACATTTGGTGCTCTAATGAGTATTTGGGGCAGCAGGACAGTGTGTGTGGGACTGAGTCAAGATAAACTACAGTGTGTGTGTTCATGGTAATGAAGGAAAAACAGTGTGGCTCATTGATGTGTTTTTAGCGCTTACACACGCTCCAGCTATTTTTCATGGTATTCGCATGAGAAGCCGTGGGTGTGTGCCAAAACTGACACCAAAGGCTTGTTGAGTGTCCAAAATGATATGTGCAGTGCAGATGGAAACCGTGGCTTGAGAGTAAAGATCGGTTACCAAAAAACATTAATAATCCTCTGTGGAATATCCACAGCTAATTGTAGGGACATCCTGAGATTAGATTCAGATTGAAGGGACAGCAGGTGGGTGGAAGCCCAGCACCCACTGAGCCTTACCGGTCTTACAGATGGGGCAGCAGTGGTTGGGTTCGTAGGTGGGGTTGACACAGTGAGGGGCGGGGCAGTCCGAAATGCTGCAGTACACCTCTCTGTTGGCCTCGCAGCGACATCGCTCACACCTCGACAGCTGGAACACACAGACAGTTTGAATTTCATTGCCTTCATACATGGGGCCATTTGAACGGTCGGTATTGTCTCATTAATCGACCAGCTGGTCTAATTACAGTGAACGAATGAGACCGAGGCAGAGGGAGGCTCAATCTCACTGG